GAGGGTTAAGTCGAAAACACGTTAAGTCATTGAACGGGGAAAACAAAGAGGAAACAACTGTACTCAATCTGTCTTCAACTACCACTCTCAGGATTGTCAAGCTAAAGAGAATCATATTCTTCTCTATCGCTATCATTAAACTAGAATTCTAACCATTAAAAATCAGCAGCTATTGTTTTGGCTGTCTCAAGGGGATATGCTACAAATAAATAGATTCCTGAAGGCAAGGAAAGAAAGCACGAGCAAGAGGAGGAGGAAGAAGAATGGAAGGAAAGAAGGAAGGAATCTAGGCATAGGAAATACCTGTGGCTACAACATAGAACTGCAAATTTTACATTTGTTTTCCCCTGGAGACACGTTTATCTCTAATCCTAGCTGCTGAAGTGATTTATGGAGGGGAAAAAAACCCCTAGAAACAAGAGCAGACATAGGAACTGAAAGGACCCTTGTCTTCCAGCATTCAGGAGATAGGAGAGTTCTCTCTGATAAAGGGTAAGATGGCTGTGGGGGGAACCAAGGGGAAATTAACAACCCCAAACAAGAATAAGCAGGGCAGGAAGAGGCCAAAATTACAGTGTAGGAAAAGAGGGCACGGTCTTGGTGAGTATCTGAGTTTGCTTTATTTTACTTTGTCCTTAAGATAATGGTTTTATTTCCTATATCAGTATTTTCTCTTGTATTTTCATTTTTAAAAAGTACTAGGCAAGGCCAGTGACTTACAACTAAAGAGTACATGTCAGAGCAGAAAGAACAATCCAGTGTGTGCTTTGTGAAATAATTTTCTATAATATGGAACATGCCTCCTTGCTCTATATTTTGACTTTTTGAAAATAGTATATTCAAAACCAATTACAGATAGTTATCAGCAATGGAAAAGAGTTAATAAAATTTTACTATTGCCAGTGCTGAGTACCTCTGAATAGCAATGAAGAATACTTTTAATGCAGTTTCAGTTTAAACTTTTTCTGAACCGGCCAATTTCATCACATTGATAATAATTACTTGTTAAATATATATTATCTCATAGAAAAGAACTTACACATTGTAAATATGTATACTACATGGACATATATTAACAACACAGTTAAATAGCAAAGATATCCATCAATTACAACTTAAACACCCCAAATATTAAGATTATACTTATATCCTTTAGATTTTCCATTTTCTTTCTCGACCAGCAATCACTGGAAAAGTGACTGCCTAATATCCTCACTGTTACATTATTTGAGTCTAAGCCACTGGAGAATGGTAATGGGGACATTTTCTGACTCCAACGAAGCTTACTGCACTGCTAAATTTCTCCCCTCATATGTAAAAGCAGATGATCTCATTTTCTTAAGTGACAAATGGATTTTGTGCAGTCTAGCTCATTCGTAGTGAACTTTACAAATGACTCACACCATATATGACTTGTGTAATTACATTTACATTTCCTTGTCATATTTACTCTAAAATGTCACTGAGTACTTTTAAAGTAGCTCTGTCTTATACACCAAAGATGAGAAAACTATAGCTATTCTTTTCAAATTCATTCCAACCCCGATTAAATCCATAAGAAAAATAACTCAAATTTACTGTTAGGGTTAACTGGAGTATTCACTTGGGATTCATTTCTCTAGCTCTCTTCTACAAGACCTCCTCCAACTCACACTGAAAGCTAATTACCATGTTGGAAAGATTTGGCATTTTGGTTGGAAAGGTCACATGGCATAGTGAAAAGAGCACCAACCGTGTAATTACAAGCCCAAGGTCCAAAGCCAGGTTCTCTTCCTATCTAGCACCTCTTCAGCTCTGTTCACCTTTAATCAAAGTGACTATAGGCAAAGTAGACAGTTTCAGTTTGTCCGTGATTCCTTCCTTTTTTCACAGTTCATGTAATGTCCAAAAGACCTTAAATGTGTTAAAAATACTTAGAAAAAATATTAAATTTCCATACAAATGACTTTAAACCCAATTATATGTTAAAAACATGTTTTTACATGTAATATTGTGTGTGGCAGCTGGAAGGAGTTTAAAATTTCAATAGTTCTCCACATGTTTAACACATTGGACATACGATTTTCATTGTCCAGAAAAATTGTCCAGAAAAATTAATAGCCAAAACTTTAAATACTAGGATACAACAAGAGGGGGCGGAAGGAACATTTATCCTAATATAACTGAAAAGAAAGAACCTATGAATGTGTGGAAGATATAGATACTTCTACAACATCCTACTTCACAGTTTACAGAGGTTATTGGAGGGTAAAATACTACATACTTTAGAATTTCACCCTTGCTGTTACAGATAATGAATTACGATTACAGTAGACAGAAAAATGTTCCGCACTCAAGTATTTCCACATCCTAATCCCCAGAACCAGTAAGTATGCTGGGTTGCAAAGTACAGGAGAATGAAGCTTGCACATGGAATTGTGTTGTTAATCAGATTATTTCAAACAGAGAGACTATCCTAGATTACTCGGATGAACTCAACACAGTAATCACCAATGTGGAAAATGAGAACAGAAGCAGCCAGGGGAATACGTGATTATGAAAGACAGACACAGAGGAATACAGTGTTACTGGCTTTGGTGATGGAATGGGGCCATCAGCCAAGGGGTGGGGCAGGCTCTAGAGTTTGGCAAAGCAATACAATTTTCTCCTGGAGCCTTCAAAAGGAATTTTGACTTCCTCACATCTTGAGTTTAGCCCTGAGAGATCTGTGTCGGACTTCAAGCCTACAGAACTGTATGATAGTAAATTTGTGTTGTGTTAAGCCAGTACATTTGTGGTCCTTTATTATAGTAGTTATAAAAAAGTAATTAAGAAGACTAATCATAATGTTACTGTTTATGCCAGCATTAATGTGTCCTTTATATCTTCATTGCTATAATTAGTTAAAATTCCTAAATGTCCAGATAAAGTCAAGTGGTATGTCACACAGTGGTTTAGGGTGTGATTTCAGAGTCAAGCTTACTAGCTTCAAATTATGGTTTTGGGCCGGTGCTGCTGCTCACTAGGCTAATCCTCCACCTGTGGCGCCGGCACCCCGGGTTCTAGTCCCCGTCAGGGTGCCGGTTCTGTCCCGGTTGCTCCTCTTCCAGTCCAGCTCTCTGCTGTGGCCTGGGAAGGCAGTGGAGGATGGCCTAAGTGCTTGGGCCCCTGCATCCGCATGGGAGACCAGGAGGAAGCACCTGGCTCCTGGCTTCAGATTGGTGCAGCGCCAGCCATAGCAGCCATTTGGGGGGTGAACCAACAGAAAAAGGAAGACCTTTCTCTCTGTCTCTCTAACTCTGCCTGTCAAAAAAAAAAAAAATTATAGTTTTGACAGTTACCATATGCATGACCTTATATATGGTACTCAACCTCTCTTTGCCTTGGTTTTCTGATTTGAATAATGTGTCTATTTTACAGATCATAATCTGTAAAGTTTAAATGTTAGAATGTACATGTAAAGCACATAGCACTGGCTTACACAATAGGAGTTATTAAAATTTAACACTCAATTATTCTTAGGTGTTTAAATTTAAGTGAAAAGTGATCTCTGTTAAATATAAGAGGGGGAATAAGAGAGGGAGGAGGTGTATAATTTGGGACTTGCTCAAGCTGACTTGCCCCAAATGGTGGACTTAGAAATGTGCCAGAGGATTCCAATACAATCCCATCAAGGTTGCATGTACCAATGCCATTGCAATAGTCAAAGTGATGAATTTCTGTTCACAATTGATCATACTGATGGGTCTAAGAGTCAAAAGGATCACATAAACAAGACTAGTGTCTGCTAATACTAACTGATAGAATAAAAAAGGGAGAGAACAATCCAACATGTGAAGTGAGATACACAGCGGACCCATAGAATGGCAGATGTCCTAAACAGCACTCTGGCCTCAGAATCAGCCCTTAAGGCATGTGGATCTGGCTGAAGAGCCCAGGAGAGTATTTTAGGCATCGAAAGCCACTCTGGAAAAAAAAAAAAAAAAAAAAAAAAAAAAAAAACACACCTAAATGAAAGATCTCTGCAAGTGAGATCCCAGTAGAAAGAACGGGCCATCAAAGAAGAAGGTACCCTTCTCTGAAGAGAGTAGAGAATGTCCACTTTTGACTATGACCTTGTCTAAATAAGATCAAAGTCGTTGAACTCAAAAGGCTTCCATAGCCTTGGCAACTCATGACTAGAGCCTAGGGAGATTACTGATGCTATAAACAAGAGTGTCAAATTGTTAAGTCAACAACAGGAGTCACTGTGTACTTAGTCCTCATGTAGGATCTCTGTCCTTAATGTGCTGTCCAATGTGAATTAATGCTATAACTACTACTGAAACAGTATTTTACACTTTATGTTCTGTGTGGGTGCAAACTGATGAAATCTTTACTTAATATATACTAAATTGATCTTCTGTATATAAAGATAATTGAAAACGAATCTTGATGTGAATGGAATGGAAGAGGGAGCAGGAGATGGGAGGGTTGGGGGTGGGAGGGAAGTTAAGGGGGGGGGGCATTGTAATCCATAAGCTGTACTTTGGAAATTTATATTTACTAAATAAAAGTTTAAAAAAATTAATATCTTAAAATTATTTTCACATTACCATAAAGTTTTCCTCAAGTCAAAATTGCTCCTAAATCTAGTTGACTTTAATTATCTTGTCAATGATGCAAACATCAGAAGACTTGTCAAATGCCTGGCTGAAATCCAGACTCTGTCTGCAGTGTCTCTAAAATTCCTTGATCCACTAAACTACTAACCTCATTAAAAAGAAAATTGAGTCAGTCTGACATGACTTAGTCTTTGAGAACCCATATGGAAGCTTGATGGTTTTTGTTCCTTCTTTTAGATATTCACTAATTAGCTCATTCAAAATTGGTCCAAGAATCCAGTCTGAAATCAATGTCAATCTCATTTGGCTAATGTTTGCCCAATGCCTCTCCATTATCTGTGTTACTTCATAACTGAATCCTACGCTCAGTGCTTCATAAGGTATACTGTGGATATCTCCCAGAAGTCCACAGTCTAACGAAAGGTACTCTTTGGGTTCCAGAATTCCACATCATAACTGCATTGTGATGTTTCTAATGGAATTTTCAGCATTTATAATTTCCCCAATTTTTTCTTAACTGGAAATTCCCTCAACGACCATTCAGGAAACACTCGACCACTGTCCTCTCTTGCTCATTATCTCTAAAACATGCCAAAGAACAGTGAGCCTACACGTCTTAGTTCTTAAATAAATGATGAAGGTAGGTTTAAAAATTAACAGCAACTTTCATATATCAACTTCTTGTATGTTTCAGCTCTGATGGTATATTAAAGGTCTGATCTGATTTGTGCTTTAGTTAATGGGACTGTCACTTTGCAACTGTCCCCAACTGTAAATTTTTAGTAGAAAAAGATGAGCATAGCAGAAATGAAATATACAAGCAGCCTTCAAAAATTTCTTGGAAAAAGTATATTATGAAGAAACTATGCATGGATTTCAAGATTTTTTTTCTCCCAAAAAAACTTTTAATTCCATTCTTGCATGAATTTTTTCAAGTTCCCCTCTATTACATTCAAATACATTTAGCTTTTCAAGTGTTTGCAGGTATATGAAAATAGTGAAATTAGAAGTACTAATTTAGGTAAATATATTAAGAGAAGCATACAAACGTCACAAAACGGGTCAACTCCAGACAGTGAGTGAAGGGAAATCTTGACCACATAGGCTGTGTCAGTTCTTTCGCTTTTGTTATGTTTTTCCTTTCTTGGTCCAACAAGTGTAGCTTATTCTCATTAGCGAGTTAAAGACAACCCTTTCAGCTCTAGCCTTTCCTTGGGACAAAATTGGAATGAAGTACAACTATGATCATGGTTGTACTGTATCATGGAACGTCAGTCATAATTCTTATAGTATATTTTCTCTGACAATGAGTAAGTAGTATTCTGTTAATACTGGTTAAAGCTAGAGGTCAAAGTTTTGTTTAAACTTAGGAGTAATGACACTCCTAAGTAAAATGTCTAATGTTGCCCCTTAAACACTGAAAGAGGTTTTAAAAAATACAAATTTAAAACTCAATTCAGCACATAACACATTTACTCTTATTAAATGTCTCTCATACAAAGAAAATACATACTAAGCAATGAACACATCCATGAATTCCAGTATTTCTAAACCAGATGTCTATGATGCTGTCTCTCTATTCTGCAGGTGATTAAATAATTTTCTGAAGATCTTAGTAGAAGTTAAGAATGGAATTAAGAATGCAATTTATATCTCCTGTGCCCTTTTGTGTGTCTCTTGCCTTACCACTGTGCATACATGCATGCTTTCACAATAGTGAGGAAGAGGTGAATCACTAATTCGAAAATGAAGAAATCAAAGTAAACGATGTTGATAATCTCAACAGTCTTGAAGTCTGCTTATCTGCTGCTATACAGGCTATTCACTCAGAAGCTGGGGAAACCTTAATACACTCATCAAAGCTCTCTTTACAATTACCAAGGTATTAAAGAAGGTGTCCAACAGCGAGAGGTGAATCTTAAGTAGTTTAAAGATTCCATTTAGATGATGAAGATAATAACAATAATACTTAATGCTACCACAGAGCCTTTATTCCTGGAGGTTCAGAGTATTTAACTAAAGGTCAAATGATAACAACCTCTGAAATTTGCAAAACTGGGCTGGGAAACTTTTTTCTATTGTGTTTGGTGGCGTATACTTTTCTGCATTTTCTTGTAGTACAAAGAAATATGAATCCCATTCTTTTTCAAAAGCAACAGGAATATCTGCAACTTGCAGCAAAATGTCTTAGTGTTAACTTTAAATAATCGCTGAGTATAATTAAATCTATGTACATTGAATCCAACCCCTAATAAGAAAGAAAAATTCTATGCAGCCAATAGAAATAATGAAAATCATTGTAGTATGAGGCATTGTAAGCAAATACTCACGAAATCTATAAGAAATATAAATACTAAAATAGATACTGACATTATAAAACAGAACAATTAACACATATTTTCAGAGATTCTATGCCTTCTAAATTGTGCCAATTAATTCTCCCAGTATCTCCACAATGTATAACAGGACAGATCATATTTGTTAAGATTAATAAGGTGCTAGGCTTAAAAATTAATATAAAGGGTCAGGCATTGTGGCACAGTGGGTTAAGCCATGACCTCTAACTCTGGCATCCCATACTGGAGCCAGTTTGTGCCCTGGCTATTCCACTTCCAATCCAGCTTCCTATTAATGGCCTGGAAAAAGTAGCAGAGGATGGCCCAAATATTTGGGACCCTGCCACTCACACGGGATGCATGGATAAAGCACCTGGCTCCTCATTTCGGCTTGACCCAACCCTGGCCATTGTGTCCATCAGGAGAGTAAACCAGTAGAAGACCTCTCTCTCAGTTGCTCTAATTCTGATTTTCAAAAGAAATAAATCTTTTTTTTTTTTAGAAATTAATAAAAAATGCTTACACTAGCAGACCGATATTTTCTTAACCATAAATAATAAACACAAATAACTAATAACTAACTTCATATTTCATGGCACTATAAAACACATGAAAAGATGGCCCACAGAAAGATTATTGTGGGGAGCAACTCGGACTAGACTAAGTTACTGGAATTAAGACTTATTCTATGCATCTGCTCTCCCACAATATGGAGCTGGGAGAGGAGTAAACAACTTTTACACAGCTGCCTCCAGTTCGACCAGTAACCTGCAGGAGCTGATCCTGCTCCCGATTAGAGGAGAGCAGCGTACTTGGCATGTGGGTAGCAGAGTTGGGATTGGCGGAAGAGGACTATAAAGTAGGAGAGAGACAACATGCACCAGGAACATCTAAAGGGAACATCCGGATAACATCCGAGCAGCCCCCGAGAGAGCCAGCCGGCGGTGTGCCGCTCCCCCGCGGAAGTGGGGAAAGTGGCAGGGGGAACCGCCCTTCCACGGAGGTGGAAGGATCGGCAGCCAACCCGGGGAAGGACCAGCAGCAAACCCGGGGAGGGCCGAGCAGACGAAAGAACAGCGCAGGGTCCTGTGTTGTTCCTCTGCGAAGAGGGGGAGCAACAATTATAATCTTGTAAACTTGGGGAGAATTATAATTTTGTTTATGGCAAACTTGTGCAATTCCTGTTATTTTCAGAATTGAAAAAAATGCTAATGGTCCAATTTAACTTTCATAGATATTTAAGCTAAAATGTAGTATTTAGATTAAAAATCTCCCATTTTGGAGGAGTTAAGATTTTATTCTTTTTACTTACTTCAGTGAATAATTTATTAAAGATGAAAACATGTTGTCAAACAAAAACACAAGATAGTCAAAGCTTACACTAATAAATTACTCTAAGTCATTTCTATGGTTTTGATTTTTAAAATAGATGATTAAAATTTATAATTGGTAATAATCATGCTTTCTAATTAAAATATTTAAATCTTAACAATATCATAAAATTAATCTAGTTAAATAAAACATAATAAATGCTAACATTTGACCCAAGGAAGCGCTATTTTAGTATTATCAATGCAAAGGATTTTTCTTTCTCAGTTTAGAGTTTTTCCTTCAGTTAAGTAACTATCAACAACAAAGAGAGTAAGAAGTTTTACAGGGGCCGGTGCTGTGGCTTAGCAAGTTAACCTCTGCTTTCAACACTGACATCTATGGGTGCTGGTTAGAGTCCCAGAAGCTCCACTTCCTACCCAGCACCTTGCTAATGTCCTGGGAAAGCGAAGGAGGATGGCTTAGGTGCTTGGGCCCCTGTATCCACATGGGAGACCCAAAGGAAGCTCCTTACTTCAGCCTGGCCCAGTTCCTGCCATTGCAGACATTTAGGGAATGAACGAGCAGATGGAAGACCTCTCCCTCTGTCTGCAACTCTGCCTCCAGATAATAACAATAACAATAATAATAATAATAATTCTTAAAACAAAAGTCCTACAAAGAAGAAATTCATTGTATAAACTACACAATGATATTTAAGACAAGCCACAGAAGTTAAGAGAGGAGCATATTTTATTTGAAACTGGCATCTTAACAGAAGTCTTCAACTTAGTTGAGATTTCTTAGACATTAAGTAGCAAAAGGAAATATTCCCAAGTAACTATCTTTCTTCTGCAACATTCATTCATCCTTTCCTTCCTTCCTTCCTTCCTTCCTTCCTTCCTTCCTTCCTTCCTTCCTTCCTTCCTTATTTTTCGTCATTGTACAAATAAGGAGAGTAAACAGAGAAAATTAAGGATTACACTGTGTTTGAGGTTATAATCCTGCAAGTCTCCACTGGTCCATTTACTGAGTAAACGTGGGTTATGGGGTTCAGAGTTCCTGTATAGGTAACTCTGTAAAAATCACTGGGTAGATAAGAAGACAAAATATGATGAAAATTCAAGAAGGGAACTATAGCTCCTTTTTTTTTTGCTTGAATCACATTATGTTGTTTCAGAATATAGAGAACCAAGCAGTGTATGGAAGACAGTGATGCTATTCTAGAACTATAGGAAATTACAGTGAAAATCTGCTACAAATTGGAATCTCTTATCTAAGTCAACTACTTTAATGAAATTTTAAATATGTATTGTATTATTAAAAATACACAAGGGTACTTTAAAAAGTTTGTGGAAAATGGAGTTAAAAGAAATTTATTTTGGTGCAAACAAATGCAAACTATACATACAAGTTACCTTCAAAAAGTCCACGAAAATATGCACTGTGCAAAGCGTATAGGTTTCAAATTTTTAAACTAAAATCAACTTATCTTTTAATTCCATTTTCACAATCTTTTTTAGTACCCATAGATATATATTATAGACATATACATATATAAAATATATACATATCTATATGTATTTGTTTATGTGTAACTAAAATCAAGTAGACCTAAAAAGGAGAAACATCCAAACATTAGATAAATCTGTTGCCTGACTATTCTTCACAGAATAACAAAAAGCAAGCTACAAGAACATTGGCCTTACAATTAGACACAGACAGCAATCAAAATAATCTGACCTGGGACCAGTGTTGTGATACAGTGAGTTAAATGCTGCCTGGGATGCCAGCATCCCATATGGGCACAGGTTTAAGTCCCATCTGCTCCGCTTCTGATCCAACTTCCTGCTCATGTGCCTGGGAAAAAAGCAGAGGATAGCCCAAGTTCTTGGGACCCTGCACCTATGTGGGAGACCTGGAAGCAGCTCCTGGCTTCAGCCTGGCCCAGTGCCAGCCATTGCTTCCATTTGGGAAGTGAACCAGCAGAAACTGTCTCTGTAACTCTGCCTTTCAAATAAGTCAGTAGCCTCCCCTATTTGGGAAATCATTAAAGAAGCCATCACCAGGGGCCGGTGCTGTGGTATAGCAGTTAAAGCTGCTGCCTGCAGTGCTGGCATCCCATATGGGTGCTGGTTCAAGACCCGTCTGCGCCACTTCTGATCCAGCTCTCTGCTAGGGCCTGGGAAAGCAGAAGATGGCCCAAGTCCTTGGGCCCTTGCACCTGCATGGGAGACCCAGAGGAGGCTCCTGGCTCCAGATGGGTGCAGCTCTGGCTATTGCGGCCAATTGGGGAGTGAACTAGCAGATGGAAGACCTCTCTGTCTCCATCTCCCTGTCCCCATCTGTGTAACTATGACTTTCAAATAAAAAAAAAAATCAAAAAAAAAAAAAAGCAATTATGACCCTACAGGTTGATTTTAAAGGAAAACACACACACACACACACACACACACACACAAACGATGTATCAAATAGATGATACAGAGCCTGTTTACTGTGAATCAGAAGCAGAGTGTGAAGTAGAAAAAAAGGCAAATTTCAACATATAAATAAAAGAACAGATTTAATCACAATTATTGTGTGTCTCGATTTCCCAGATTTCTTTACAGCTAGAAGTGCTCTTGTGTCATGTTTAACCCTCAATGTTTCCTCAGGGGAAGTCTCCTGGTAATGGACGCATGAAAATAGTCACACAAGGCTATTACCTCATTACTTTTATTTTATACACAGAGCAAGCAAAGCGAATGGGATGATTAATATGCTGTTCGTCTACATAATGGTAAGTAATGTCGCATTTAAAATATTTGGAAAATGAAGTTATTTGCTAACAAACATTATAAAACAGTGTATTTTTAAAGCAGATTAAAACTATATAGTTCTATCTTTGTATTAAAAATACTATACACATAAGCTGGACCTTCCTTGAAATCATCAATATATAAATGCAGTTTGCAGAGTGATAGCTCAGTTAGATAGCTATATATAGAGATATGTATGATCTATCGATTTAGAGATAGGTATTGTCCTGGATATATATATATTTTTTTCCTTCCTGTCTTAATTCAGTCCTTTATCACTTTTTCCTTACCACAATAGCAGGTATTGTTTTTTAAGATGTGTTTGCTTATTTGAAAATCAGAGTTACAGGAGAGAGAGAGAGAGAGACATCTTCTATCTGCTGGTTCACACCACAGATGGCCACAATGACTAGGGCTGAGTCAGGGTAAAGCCAGAATCTTATTAGGTTTCTCCCACATGTGAACAGGGTTCCAAGTACTTGCAGTAACTTCCTCTGCTTTTCCCAGGCCATTAACAGGGAGCTAGATCAGAAGAGGAACAACTGGGACGTGAACCATTGCCCATATGGGATGTCAGCATTGCACGAAGTGGCTTTACTTGCTGTTCTACAGTACTGACAGCATAATAGCATGTTGTAATTTAGGCACTATTACAAAACAATTTAAAATTTGAAAGGTAATGAATTACTAATATTTCTAAATCTTTGAATAGAGGAAACAGTTTGTTAAGTGATTGTACCCTTCTTTAACTACATGTTTACACTTGAATGGAAGCATCCATGGGTTCCCTATATGCTACACAATTACTATAATCCCAGGAGCTATCATAACCCTGATTAACATTAATATTAACCACGGGCTTCACCGTGCACAGCTGACAAAGGAAATCTGTTCTTTTATCTCATGCCAATAACAACATAAGAAGATGTGTTTGTGTTTTCAAGAATTGTTGCTTGGAGCGCAAGTTGCTGAGGTACTTGATAATTTGAATTCTAGGCTTATTCCCAAACAGTTCTATCTCTGACTCCAAGGTATGTGAGATGGCAGAATTTTCTATTTAAAGTTTATATGAGTTTTGTTTTAAAATCTCTGAAGACCACCCATTATTTCTCAAAATAGTATTTGTTCTTTCTCTTGGCCCCTCTTTGCAGGTTAACTTATCTCTTAATTATAGAAAATATTTGGGAGAAAATATTGTCTCATTGTAATATTACATAGGATTTTACTTTAACTGTTGGTTTTCTTTATCACATATTATGATCAAATATTTTGTGGACAAAAACATGAATATGAAAATATACAAGACTAGAAAGTGTCTTTTTTAAAGTATATTAGTTTATTTGAAAGGCAGGTCTATGGAGGGGGAGGGGGTAGACACAGAGAGAGGGAGGGAGGGAGGGGAGAAGAGGAGCACAGAGAGGAGAGGAGAGGAGAGGAGAGGAGAGGAGAGGAGAGGAGAGGAGAGGAGAGGAGCGGAGAAGAAGAGAAGAGAGAACCTTCCATCTCCTGGTTCACCCTCCAAATGCCACAACATCCAGGCTAGGCCAGGCTGAAGCCAGGAGCTTCTTCTGGATCTCCCACGTGGGTACAGAGGCCTAAGCACCTGGGCCACCCTCCATTGCTTTCCCAGGTGCATGAACAGGGAGCTGGATCAGAAGTGGAACAGCCAAACACAAACCCGTGCCCATAGGGGAAGCCAGCATCACAGGTGGCAGCTTAACACATTGTATTAATATAGTGTTGTGCCACAACACTGGACATAGAGAATGTGGATCCTTAAACTATGTGATTGGCCACACCAGAGGAGTTTTAAAAGCTCAGTTCACACTAATATAGACCCTAATATCACGTAGCAGATGCAAGTTTTAGGTGACAGCCTTCTAAGGTCATCATATTCTATTTATTCAAGAGAGGGAACATCCACCCAAGAGCTGTCCTCAGATGGCTGAATTCAATGATGCCTCATTGATTTTGTAGTTCAAGCTCCATGATCAGCACTAAGTCCTTTAACAGTATGGCGCTTTGGATAATTCTGGCCTATGTTTTTCCCTAGAGTTTCATGTGTTTTCTTTAATGCTTCAGCCACACTAAATCACTTGGAATTCTCGGAAGTAATGTTCTTCCGTGCAGTATCTGCTCCCTGGCAAGTTTGTGTCCCTTGAGTTCCCTGTGATCTTCTAGCTCAGATAATTTTCAATCTCACTGTAGAAACACTTCAGGCATGAGGATCTTACTAATTGGGCCATGTGTCTACTCTCAACCCCACATACAACTCTCGATTCTAGAGCAAGGTAGGGGCAGTTCCCATTCAATATCCTGTTCTCCAGTGGGCGGGTGATAGTTAACAGGTGTCACAGCTCTCCTTAATACCAGGAAAATGGTGACTTTACTACCCAAGTGAGAGATTAGAATAAACTATAGTGTTAATGAAAATAAATTTTATTGTACCTCTCCAGTAAGTGTATCTGAGTTAAGAAAAACTGTGATAAAATTTAATTGTGTTTGGTCGACTTTTCTGAGAAATAAGCAAAAGAAAGTATTGCCAAAGAAACACTGTGAAAAGAACTAGAAAGTCAACAAAGATCTTAGTATTAAACAGCTTATTTCTAAAATTCTGCACATCTTTATACATTTATAATTCAAAAGCACAGCTTAAAGTTTAGTCATAGAATTAGAACATTTTTTGTATTCACATGGGTGTGTCTTATTTACTGTCAATGGTATTAACTTAAACACTGCCAGTTAAGGATCAGACATTTAAAGGTAATATGACAGCATTCTGATACAAAAATTAGAGCTTGTGTTTGCTTCAGAATTTGAAATGAGAAAAAATATATCAAAATATCTAAAAATCATGAAAGGAAAAATAAACAAGCCTATACTGTGTGGGCATTTTATTTTAGCCTTGTGAACCTTAATTTTCTATTCAATAAATTTCAGTTGAAATCTGTTATCTTTTCACTTATAATAGTAAAATATAAATTCCAGTTCATTAGACTACTTTTCTAAAACACATCAGCAGCATTAGAAATATAATCCAGAAGAGAAGACGACTTTTGGTTCAGCACTATTTTAAGTATATTGTATTGTCAAGAGAAAATTTTTAATATTGCATCAGACAGTATATTGACTATATGTACTTGATTTGTTTCCTAGTCAATCAGAATTTACCTAATTTTCAAAGTTAGTAAGGATGCATGCATGTGGTAAGACATGTCCATATAAACATTTTAATTTAATATTTAGAATTATCAAAGTAAGCACTATCAGAAAAAAAAAGTTAGTAAGTAATAACCTCTTCATGTTTGACAAGATACTTGAGTAACAAAAGCAGATACAGGCCGGCGCCGTGGCTCAATAGGCTAATCCTCCACCTTGCGGCGCCGGCACACCGGGTTCTAGTCCCGGTCGGGGCGCCGGATTCTGTCCTGTTGCCCCTCTTCCAGGCCAGCTCTCTGCTGTGGCCAGGGAGTGCAGTGGAGGATGGCCCAAGTGCTTGGGCCCTGCACCCACATGGGAGACCAGGAGAAGCACCTGGCTCCTGGCTTCGGATCAGCGCAATGCACCGGCCGCAGCGTGCCAGCCGTGGCGGCCATTGGAGGGTGAACCAACGGCAAAAGGAAGACCTTTCTCTGTCTGTCTCTCTCTCACTGTCCACTCTGCCTGTCAAAAAAAAAAAAAAAAAGCAGATACAAAGCTTAAATACAGTCTTGTATATGTCTTCAGAACCTAACTACATGGGATTTATCTTTTCAGTGGGCAGGAGAGTACACATTAATGGATACCACTGAGACACTTTTCTTGCCCTACTTGTAACAAGACTCAAGTGTGACCTGAATGGCTGCCTGGTGCGTGGATTTATATTCCTCTCAGAGGCATTGGATATTGTATTTCACCACAAAGAGGTAAAAACATTGCAATCATTATTTATAAATCTTTTAGAAAAATGCACTTTCTTAGCAGCAACTATGGCAACAGGGAACTGGAAATGACACTGGAAAAGAATTGAGCTCAGTTGCAATGGGTAAAGCACATAGGATTTATGTGCTTCCAATGTCTATTTTAAAACAAAAAATTCCAACATGCAGCATGTATGATGATTTGATTTAATCCATGTGTATAGCAATTCTGTAATGTTTAAAATTATAATATGAAATACATTAAAAAATGCATTTACAAGTTACGTAAAATTTATAAACATAAAATGATTCCAGGTGAATCAAAATCATCTTCTTTCCATAGACAACTTTGTTTATTTGCAGTAATACCAGCATTTAGGGCAGGCTCCATTTGGAATAGAGCAGCAGCTGCTCCAGAAGCCTCTTGGTCCACGCATGGCCGTTGACTGAGAAGGAACACCTGTTTTACAGTGCTGGTGGCAGTGGTGAACAGGCAGCAATGTTCAGCCAGTGGCTCTAGGGTGCATTTGTGAACCAGAGATTCTTGCGGAGGGAACAAGTCCATGGTCCCCAGAGTCTTTGAGCCAGGCTGGGAGGTGGCTCAGTCTCCTAATGTCAAAACACTGAGGCAGCTCTGTCTCTCTCTTGACCGACAGACTGGCAAGGTAGAAAGACACCTCTGGACCCAGTGACTCTGAGAGTCAATACTCAGACCTGAGATACTGAAGTTACATGAGAAAGGGTAGCGTGTAGCTGTGTTGTGAGCTCTACTACATCCAACCTGGGTGTTACCCTGGAAACTCGTCTCACCCTAGACCACCGACTAGAACTCCCAGGCCACACCCACCACACCTCTTGGTACTCACTGAAAAAGCAGACATTCTACTACAGGACAGCATAAATGCCTTAAGATAAAAGCCATCAGAAGAAAGATAAAGACAAGAACAACTCCAAAGACGCCTAAAAATAAAACCAGAAAATTAAGAAACAAGAATAAGGAAGACATGATGACCCATACAAAGGACAAGAGCATTTAAATATTAGAACATGAAGATGGATATTGATATTCTAATATCAATATTGAAATGCCAGAAAGGGAATTCAAAAAATTATTCATAGGATTACTCAAAACGAATGAGAACCAAGTTTATGAACCAATGAAAACCATACATGACATGAAACTATTTCTCATTAAATTGACATTTTAAAGAGAAGTCAAAATGAAATATTAGAAATGAAGAATTCAATATAAAAATGCAGTGGAAAGTCTTAATAGCGGACTTGGTGAGGAAAAAGAAAGAATATCTGAACTAGAAGACAAATCTTTGGAAATCTTACAATCAGAAAAACAAAAGAAAATAGAAACTTAAAAACAGTTTTGGAGATCTATGGGATACTATCAAATGACCCAACGTAAGGGTCTGTGGAGTTCCTGAGGGTGCAGAAACAGAGAATGAACTAGAAAACCTATTCAGTGAAATAATTACAGAAAATTTCCCTAGCATGGAGAAATAAAGGGCCATCCAAGTAGAGGAAGCCCACAGAACCTCTAACAGACATGACCAGAAAAGATCTTCACCATGCCACATTGTAGTCAAACTTTCCACAGTAAAACAAAGAAAATATTCTAAATTGTGCATAAGAGAAATCCCAGATTTCTTTCAGAGGATTTCCAATTAGACTCACAGCTGACTTCTTATCAGAAACCCCACAGGCTAGAAGGGAATGATGAGATGTAGCCCAAGTCTTAAAAGAAAAATATTGTCAACCCACAATACTGTACCCCACAAAGCTCACATTCATGAATGAAGGTGAAATAAAGACCTTTGGTAACAACAGAAATTGAAAAAATTTGTCACCACTTGTCCAGTCTTACATAAGAAGGTTAGTGGTGTGCCATACACAGAAACGCAGAAAGAAGCCACCACCATGAGATGGCAGAAAACCCCCCAATAGAAGCACAAAAGAAATCCAAAGTGAATAGGAGTATCGAGGGGGAAATGACAGGGCCAAGTCGTTACTTACCAATAGTCACCTTGAAGGTAAATAGCTTCAACTTTCCAGTTAAAAGATACAGACTGCCAGAACAGATTAAGGAATAAGACCCATCTATCTGCTGCTTACAAGATACATATCTCACCAACAAAGATAAACGTAGACTGAAAGCAAAAGGATAGAAAAAGATATTCCATGTTATCAGAAACCAAAAAAGAGCTGGTGCAGCTATCCTAATATCAGACAAAATAGACTAACACAAGAACTGTTAAAAGAGACAAAGAAAGGCACTATGTAATGATCAAAGGATCAATTCAACAGGAAGATGTGACTGTAATAAATGTATATGCACCCAACCACAGGGCTCCTGGCTATTTAGAAGAACTGTTAACAGACCTAAAGGGTTATGTAGACTCCAATACAATAGTAACAGGGGACTTTAATATCCCATTATTAACAATGGACAGATCAACCACACAATCAGCAAGGAAAAAGCAGAATTAATCGACACTAATTATAGACCAAATGGACCTAATGGATATCTACAGAACCCTTCACCCCATGGTGGAAGAATGCATATTCTCCTCACCAGTGTATGGAACTTTCTCTAAGATAGACTATATGGTAGGCCACAAAGCAATTCTTCACAAATTCAAAAAAAAAATATTGAAATCATGCCATGTATCTTCTTTGACCACAATGGAATGAAGCTGGAAATCAGCAACTAAAGAATCTCTAGAACATATGTAAACACATGGAGACTGAACAACATGCTCTTTAATGAACAGTGAGTCATAGAAGAAACCAAAAGAGAAATAAATATTTTCTAGAAGCAAATGAAAATGACAACACATCACATCAAAACTTATGGGATATAGCAAAAGCAGTGCTAAGAGGCAAGTTTATGGCAATCAGTACCTTCATGAAGTAGCTGCAAAGGTACCAAATAAGTGAGCTATCAATGCATCTCAAGAAACTAGTAAGACAACAAACCAAACCCAAAATTAGTAAGAGGAAAGAAATAATTAAGAGAATAGGCAAAATTGAAACCTCCCCCACCCCAAAAAATACAAAAAATAGATCAGTGAATTGAAGAGCTGTTTTTTTAAAAATAAACAAAATTGACAAAACATTGGCAAAACTAACAAAAAAGAAGGAAAAGACCCAAATCAATAAAACCAGAGATGAAAAAGGAAATGTAATGACACCACAGAAATAAAAAAAATCAGAAATTAATACAAAGAGTGGTACACCAACAAATTAGGAAACCTAGAAAAAAGGGATAGATTTCTAGAAACATGCATCTACCAAAATTGAGTCAGGAAGATACAGAAAACCTCAACAGACCAATAACCAAGACAGAAGTTTGAATCAGTAATAAAAACTCTCCTCTCAAAAAAAGTCCATGATCAGACCACTTCACTGCTGATTTCTACCAGACATTTAAAGAAGAACTAATTCCAATTCTTTTCAGGCTATTCAAAGCAATTCAAAGGGAAGGAACCCTGCCTAACTCCTTTTATGAAGCCTGCATCACCTTAATACCTATACCTGAAAAAGATGCAACAGAGAAAGAGAACTATGGACCAATATCCCTGATGAACACAGATGCAAAAATCTTCCACAAAATACTAGCTAATAGAATCCAACAACACATCAGAAAAATCATTCACCCATACCAAGGGGATTTATCCCTGTTATGCAGGGATGGTTCAACATTCACAAAATCAATGTTATCACCAAAATTATCACATCAACAAATTGAACAAAATCATATGATTATCTCAATAGATGCAGAGAAAGCATTTGATAAAATACAACATATTTCCATTATGAAAATCTTAAGCAAATTGAGTATAGAAGGAACATTACTCAAGACAAAGCAATCCATGACAAACCCACACACAGAAAGCATCTTATTGAATGGGGAAAAGTTGGAAGCATTCCCACTAAGATCCAGAACCAGACAAGGATGCCCACTCTCACCATTGCTGTTCAATAAAGTCCTGGAAGCTTTAGCTAGAGCCACCAGGCAAGAAAAAGAAATCAAAAGGATACATATTGGTAAAGAGAAAACTGAACTATCACTATTTACAGATGACATGAATCTATATTCAGGGGGTCCAAAAGACTCCACTAAGAGACTACTGGAAGGTTGGTAGGAAGTAGAGCAGCCCAGCACCCCTATGGGATGCCAGCACTGCCAGCAGCAGCTTAACCACAACTTTGGCCCTGGGAAAATTCTCTTAAAGGGGAGGGATGCGGGTGGGAGAGACGATATGGGGGGGAAGCCATTGTAATCCATAAGCCGTACTTTGGAAATTTATATTCATTAAATAAAAGTTTAAAAAAATTAAAAAAAATTAAAAAATAAATAACTTAGTTTATGGGGCCAGCACTGTGGCATAGTAGGTTAAGCCTCTGCCTGTGGCATTGGCATCCCATATGTATGCTGGTTTGAGTTCCAACTACTCCACTTTTTCTCCAGCTCCCAGCTAATGGCCTAGGAAAGCAATGGAAGATGGCCAAGTGCTTGGACCTCTGCATCCACCAGGGAGATCTCTTAGGAAAAAGCTCCTGGCTCCCGGCTTTGGAATGGCCCAGTTCAAGCCATTGTAGCCATCTGGGGAATGAATCAGTAGATGGAAGACCTTTCTTCTGTCTCTCCCTCTCTGTAACTCTGCCACTCAAATAAATACATCTTTATTGAAAAAAAATAATAGTATTTCTATCTAGAGTGAATATACTGCTGTCATCTGTTATAAATGCAATAAACTTCCTGGAAATTAAAATTTGATAATTTTTAAGTATTTAAAATAAGCATATTGCTTTGGGAACATATGTACTGTTCTCTTCTGTCATACATTACATACAGAAGTAGTTTTCTTCTTACTAATTATTCTGCGGTATATTGACTTTTTTTTAAACCAGAAAAGTTTCTCCTTTTAATACTTTTTCTTCTCAAAAATCAAAACCCCACATTAGTTGAAGAGTTAAGAGTTCATAACTAT